ACACACACACACACACACACACACACACACACACACACACACACACACACACACACTTGCCACTCACTTGTCAGGTGGCGCCCGCACGCTGCCAACTCCCGCACCCCGCACCATTGCCCTCACTCACCCATCGCTCAAGCTCGATTCGATCCAACTAGCGGACGATAGCCTGCTGCCGTTTTGTCACACGAGCAAGCCAAAGCTTCATCGTGCGAGTTTGCCTATCAGCACGTTCCAGTCTTGCGGGGAAGGCGTGATTCGGAAGCAAGAATGGCAGCTACCATTCCCATCGCAGACTCGGTCAAGCCGAGCGTGGAAGAGTACCGCATCACCTCGTACGATGGTTTGACCTTACCAGCCCGTCGATTTGTTCCCAGAGTCGAAGCTTTTTCGACGCCCAAAGCTGCCGTCATCCTCCTGCATGGCTTCATCGAACATCACGATCGCTATCAGCACGTGGGCAACTTTTTGGCTTCGCAAGGTGTTCAGACTTTGACCTTCTCTCAAAGAGGTTATGGAAAACAGGAAATCAAAAAGAACTACTCCAACACCAGTTGGCCTCGACTGTTTCAGGATATCGAGAGCATCGTTGTGCAGGAGAGGAAAGCTTTGGATGAAAAGCATGGAGTGGGAAAGGTGCCTTTGTTCTTGTATGGACACTCCATGGTGAGCTGAGCTGAGCTGAGCTGAGCTGAGCTTCGTGCCCAGACTCATGTCGGGACTGGGCAGGCAGCGGCTCGCCCGACTGATCAGGCTGCTTACACGCTCCGCACCTGTAGGGAGGTGGTTTGGCGTTTGGCTTCTTTGCGAGACCGGAGACGGAAGAGGGTGCGCCCAAAGCAGAGACGAAGAAGCTCATCAAGGGTATCGTCGTCTCCAGTCCTTGGCTGCGTCTGACCCACGTGAGTCTCGCCCATGCCCCCGCCGAGTTGGGGCGTACGTAATGCGATGCAGCGATCGCGGGCTGACACACCCAGCACCTTGTTGAGTGCACGCACAGCCTCCACCCAGCGCCTTCTTCTGGCTCGCCCCGAGACTCTTGAAAGCCTTTCCAAACGTCATGTGGTACGCGCCCGTCAACCCTGCCGAGCTGTCTCACGACCCAGCAGTCGTTGCGGAGAACAAGAAGGATCCTCTCATTTCTGGCGTCGTCTACGTTCGAGCTATTGCGGGACCTCTGCTCGGAGGTCCCAGGTTGGTGAGCGAGTGGTACAAGAACTATCCCAAAGACTTGCCGGTGCTCTTTGCACATGGAGAAGCGGATCCCGTCACTTCGCCCAAGGCCAGTAGGGAGTTGTACGAGAAGCTGGAGGCGTCGGACAAGGACTACAAGAGCTGGCCTGGATTTTTTCACGAGGGTCACAATGAGAAAGGCGATGACAAGGTATGCACAGTCTTGTCAGGGCGTTGCGTATGCGATGGGATGCTGACGCCGACTCGCGCCTCACCCGGCACTTGAACTCGATAGGTCCACTTTTTGCAATACAATGTCGAGTAAGTGTGCGCGGGAATACACCACAGATGATCGTTCTAGGCTCACAATGTTTCACTACCATCCTCCCCCCGCCTTCAGCTGGATCCTCAGGCATGCAGGTAGGCCCGATGATGGTGCAGAAAAGGCAGGCCCAACGTCGGGCGCCGCGGCTCCGGTAGTCATGAGTGCGTGAAAGCTGCGTCGATTCGCTTTTGCACTGTTCGTCACATCGTTCCCTTTCCCCGAATACCCTTCCCTCGTTCGTTTTGCTAGCGTCCTCCATGACAATTCCATCCGCTTGATCTGACCCACTTTGTCTTTGCGTCTCCACTTTCTCTGCAGATTCGTTTGAGGAAGAGGCGGAGGAAAAGAAAGCAGATGGCAAAGCGTGTTGGGCCACTCTGATGACTGGCGAAAAGTACCTACCAGGTCTGGTCGTGTTTGCAACGAGCCTGCTGCAGACGCACAAGAGCAGATATCCGCTCGTCGTGTACGTCACTGGAAAGCTTTCTGAGAGGGCCAGAAGGGTGGTCAGCGCGTTGGGATGCAGAATCGTGGAGGTGAAGGATTTGAGACCGACATTGACCAGCACTGTGAGGCGCAAAATAGACGCTGCATCTGGGGGGCGGTGTTGGTGGTGTAGAGTGGGCTGGCTGATCACCGTTTGTTGCTGCTGCTACGGCGTTGACCACAGAATCTTGCGTACGAGCGCTTTGGAGATGTGTGGACGAAGCTGAGAGCTTTTGAGCTGACGCAGTATGAGAGAGTGGTCATGGTGGATAGCGACATGTTGGTACGAAGGAATATGGACGAGCTGATGGATCTGCAGCTGGACGATGGCAAAGAGATAGCGAGCAGTTTCGCATGCACTTGCAATCCCAAAAACATCCCAACCTATCCTGCGGATTGGTGAGTAGTGCATGCCAGGCGACTACTTGCACAGGCACAACAGGTGCGCTGATTGGCTGACTTTTGTCAGAATGCCGCGCTCGTGTGCTCGCAAGGGTTCCTGCCAATTGCGGCTTCACTCCGCAAACCCATCCTTCTTGCCTCACGAGTCCACCGCAGGTCACTGCAGATTCTCTACCCACTCATAGATTGCTCAACAGCGGTCTAGTCGTGCTCAAGCCTTCGCTGGATACCATGAAGGTTATTGAGCATATGCTCGGTACCGATCCGCGCGTGCTGGCTTGGTCCTTCCCTGATCAGGTCAGTGATCATTATTGACCGGGGGCTGCGCTGCCAAAGGCACTCAAATCGGGACCTGATCTGACCTGACCTTCCGCGTACATCGTATTCAAGGACCTCCTTGCTGCGTTGTTCGAGTCCAAGTGGCAGGTGCTGCCTTGGACGTATAATGCCCTCA